TTCCCATCTGTTAGTTCGTTAACCTTTCTCCTCTGGCACAGGGAAACTCCTGCTCCCTCTGTCTTTTCAGAGGTCCCGTCCCGAAGGAGATCTCCTGTCTGCAGGCTGTGACCAGCCAGCCAGGAGGTACCTCTCACTTGCTTTTAGATATCCCATTAGCAATGCCCTTCTCTGATGGTGAAAAATTGTAAAATCATTAAAAAAAAACCCCAAAAACCCCAAACCTCAAAAAATCCCCAACCTCTCCTGCCCGGCTTTATCGCACCCCATTGCTGGTTACCCGCCTGATGGAGGAAGACTGCAGAAACCTCGACACGTACCTCCTCTCGAGGAAACAGTGAAGCTCAGTATCACTAGCAAGACGAGCACTTTAATTCCCAGCGGCACAAATATCAGGATCAGGAGGAAGGAGCTGTTGGAGGCTTTGAATTTATAGAAGTACACAGCCCCCTCTGCTCTCCCGTGGCTATTGACAGCGGTGCAGGTGTATTTTCCATCGTGGGTCAGGTACCGGAGCTCCTTGGTGACGCGGTGGTTCATGCTGGTGACGGAGGTGAGGTTGCTGTAGGGTGGTCCGGTCCAGGTCAGGTCAGGCGCTGGCTCCCCCTCGGCCGTGCAGCGTGCCTGGAAGGTGCGATCCCCGTTGGAGCTGACGGTGATGTTGATGATCCTGGGGGCAGCTGCAGGAATTGCAACAGGGGAGGGAAAACGCGTCAGGCTTCAAAGGCAGGTCCAACAGAAAACACATGGAATGAGCTCCTGGTCCTGGTGGACCCTCAGAGTGTTATATCAGGGTAATGTTGGGAACAAAACTCCCCTTCCTCATTTTACTCAGTACTTCCTTTCCCTAGATTTCCCTACTCTGCTTGTGTTGGATGGAGGAGCAGAGGGATTCACCCAGCAAAGCCTGGGCGAAGGGCACATCCCTCTCTGTGTGTCTTATCCCTGAAATGCCTTGTGTGGGTTTCTGAGCTTCAGTCAGTTTGGCTGGCGGAAGGCAGAGCACGGTGCTGTATCAGACGGTCGTCCGTGGAGATGGGTTGCTTTCTGCAGCTGCACCGTGAATCGCAGCCCAGCGCCGTCCGCAGCGTGGGCGCAGGTGCAGCTGGTGACCTTCCGGTCTGGCTGCATCTGCACGTGGTCCAGGACAGGGCCACCGTGGTGCTCTCCTGCAGGTGTCTCATGGCTGTTCCCATGACCTCCAGAGCACGCGTAGAATCCCAGAATCAGGGAACGGTTTGGGTTG